AAAAAAAAAAAAAAAGAAAAGGAGCTGCTGTAACTGTGACCAGCTATCCCTCAACTCACCATCCATGGAGTGCACCGTCTCGAAGGCCACCACTTTGGGGGTGAGTGGGTCCACCTTCTGCAGCATCTCCTCCAGGTGCTCTGGGTCGTTGTGACGGAACACGTGCTTCTTGGCCATGCTGGTACGGATGCCCTGGATCATGGATGCGTGGTTGCCCGCGTCAGAGAAGAAGTGCATGCCTGGACACAGAAGGAGGGAGGGAGTGGGGAAAATAAATTACTTTTAGTAAGAGTTTGTTTGTTTAACACTTTGCCATCACAAAGCTCATAGTAAAAACCCTTGCCACCAAAGGCAAAGGCATTTTGGGCAAAATCCAAAGAAACTGGGTGGTAAACATCGCCCATCGGCGAGATGAAGCGGCAAAGTGTTCAGTAAAGAGAAGCACATCGACACAATAACGGTCATTTAGTGCTGGGAAAAGGGGACGGAAAATAAATAAGTTTTAGTAAAAGTTTTGTTTGTTTGTTTGCTTAAGTAAAGAGAAGCACATCGACACATTAATGTCCATTTAGTGCTGGGAAAAAGTAAGACCGACAGACAGAAACAACACAGGGAAAGTAAAGAAGTAGGACCTACCAGTGGCACCCTGAAGAGTTTTGTGACACTTGCAACACATTAAGTCATACAAGTGCCATAGATTAGAGGTGTTGCAAGTGAGTGACAAACATAAAAAAGAAGGAGGAAAGATCATGACCGTAGATATTTGATTGGAAAGAACGAGTAAACCACACCAGAGCACCCGCCAACTATCTAAAAATAATACATGCAAACTTGTTTTTTTTTCCTTTTCTGGAGACGGAGGAAGGAAAACATAATATGACGTTTTTATAGTTTTAATAAAAGTGATTCTCTGTCCAATTACAAACAGTTCGAGTGCTGACACACACAAACAAATACTTAAATAGTTGACTGAAATATAGCCCTTTTAAGTTTAACACCCTCAAATTGGGTGCATTAAATTGAGAAATCTGTTGGGTTCAAAAAGGGGTTAAGAAACACTTAGACAACTCTTCTCTTCACTCACCAGGGAGTTGCTTGCCTAGAGTGAAGAGCGTTGTGTCATTGGCCACGTAGCAAGAGGTGAATACAAGCCCCGCCTCCTTCTGATGCAGTTTGGCTAGCTCCGCCTCCAAGTTCTCGTGCAACGGGGAATTTCCTGAGATGTTACGAGTGCCTCCTGAGCCCGCTCCATGCTTCGATAGAGCCGAACTGAGAACAGAAATTTGTTTGAGTAAGTTTAGTTTCAGTAAAGAGTTTTACGGCACTTGGCGTTACACGAGAGTAACAAACACAAAAAAAAAGGACGGGAGATCAGGACAAAAGATGTTTGATAGGAAAGAAGGAGCAAACCACACCAGACCACCCGCTAACCACCCACATTTGTTTGATCTAAATTTCTTTGAGTAAACAGAAGCACATCGATATAATGATGGTCATTTAATGCTGGGGAAAAGTAAGACGGACAGACAGAAACAAAATAGGAAAAGAAAAATAGTAGGACCTGCCAATGGTGCCCTCCAACCACCCGCTGAGAACAGAAAACCCACCCCCAGATATGTTGCTTACGTTTGATAAAGACATGACTCCACAAAAGCATGTGAAGCAAAGAATTTCATTCTGAGCAAATTGTAGGTCATATAAGTGTCAAAAATTAGAGGTGTTACAAGAGAGCAACAAGCATAAAAAAGAAGGAGGGGAGATAAAGACGATAGATGTTTGATAGGAAAGAAGAAGCAAACCACACCAGAGCACCCGCAAACCACCCACAACCCCAGACAGGACAGCCACAAACACACAGACACACACACACACGACACAGATGTACACCAACAGACAATCACACCCAGACACACAAAGACCCACCCACAATGACAGACACACATTACACACCAGACCAGAGTCACACCCTCACCTGACTGCGGCCTTGACCTTCGGGTGCCAGCTCATGCCCAGGTAGTCGTTGCTGCACCACACCGTGATGTCCTTCTCTCCCTTCGAGTGCTCGTAGGCGTGCGGAAACGACGACGCGTCGCGCATCACCTTCTTGAACACGCGGTAGGTGTGCTCATCCTTTTTCTTCTGCAGCTGCTTGCTGAAGAAGCCATCATAGTTGAAGAACTTGGTGTCCTCTGGAAACAAACATTTCAAAATGCAATCCAACCCGCTCTTGTTTTCGTAAAAGTGTTTTACGGCATTTGCAACACAATTACGTCCTATAGGTGCAGTAGATTAGAGGCATTACAAGAGAGTAATAAACCACACCAGGGTACCCGCCAACCACCCATGAACCGACTCTAATGACCATCTGTCCAAGACAAACAGGCACTGCCTCCTTCTCCCCCCCTGTTTTTTTAATACTTTAATGACAGTGTCCAAGAGAACCACCTGTCTATGATGACCAATTTTCCTCTTGGCAATGGGAGCTCATCTTGAACAGATTCGTTTCAAAAGGATGAATGTGTTAAAAAAATAAATTTTTCAAAAGCAGGTGTCTTTACCTACCACAATTTAGACCATTAAGGACCTAGCCTGTCAGGGCTAACCCAGGCTGACAGGGATACAACATTACAGTAGAAAGACTAATATACTCCAAAAAAAATTTATTTCCTTCCGATTCGGGCTTCGAGCTCAGGTCTCCTGCGAACGACAACGAAGCGCCTAACCGTTCCACCACAGACGCCAGTTGGCAGCAGACGCTGAAATGTTTCCCTACGTACCAGTAGTCTTGATCTCATCAGGCTTGAGGTCCAGCAGCTGCTGGCGGTCAATGGTGTCCTCTTGGATGCTCTCGCTGGCCTTGGTCAAGGTCACGTCATTGCTGGTCAGGAACGGGCACTTGGCCACTTCCTCTTCAGACGCCTGGGCTGGGGCAGCTAAACAGGGGGGAAGGGAGTGGGGGGAGAAATTTATATTTCAAATGAACTGTGACAGAAAAAAACAAGCAAACAAAAGAAAGAAGACAAGCATGAAGAAAAATATTTCAACAAAGAACAGCTGACCAGCACTATCTGCCCCTTCCATCCAGGAAACAAAACTATATCAGTTATCAAATCAATAAAGAAATAAGATTAAGAAATTAAAGGTCATGAAATAAAACATAAAAAAATAAAGAATAAATAAAGACATATATCAGTTATCAAATCAATAAAGAAATAAGATTAAGAAATTAAAGGTCATGAAATAAAACATAAAAAAATAAAGAATAAATAAAGACAATCAGATGTGATCACCCATATCAGTCACTGCAAACCCTGTATCTATCTATGAAAAATTTGGCCACTTGACAAAACACACAATGGTACCAGCTCTCTTTGACCTTTACTTGCTATAGAGGAGACGCCCTGTCATCATATCTCATATAGATGGGACTTAAAAGTGCCAACTTCTTTTTTAGAACATGGCATTGAAACAACAACGACATTCAAATCCAATGTTTAAAAAAACTACCTAAATTGCAATGCAAGAAATGTAAAATTAAAAATATTTTAAAAATAAAGACAATAAATGTCCTTCCCTCTAACCCCCACCCTACCCCACCCCACCCCCTTAAAAAAAACAAATGTTTTTAAAGATGAGGAACATACATAGAATTTAAACTAAAAAATAAATATCTAAAAGTAAAAAAACAAAAATCAAAGTGAAACTGTTACTAGTTTCTGAATAAAATTTGAATTCAAATTTAGGAAAAATGCCTTTTCTTTTCTGGTAACGCTGACAAAATGCTGTTTTTTTACACCAAACTACTGTGAATTTTTAAAATGCGTTTTCCTCGTTTTGTCAGCATACGTCAGAATATCGATTGTACTACGAAAATTCTCTGCGTACCATTCTCGTTGCTGACGGTGCTCTGCAGGCGGCTGTGGTGGTGCTTCATGACGGGGCACTTGTCCATGTAGTTGAGGAACAGCGGGGCATACTGCCGGATGCTGCTCACCGAGAAACGGTTGAGGAACGTGCAAGCGGAAGCCTTCATGACGGTAGTGCAGATGATGCTGTCGATGAGGGTGTTTGGTCCGTCTTAATCAAACGTGACTGATTGTCTGAGGGCAGAAGGGTTCATCAAACGTTACTTGTATTGTAAGGGTAATACTATGGGACAGTTTTCATTGCTGCTGCTGCTGCTGCTGCTGTGCAATGACAATAACGACAATGATGATGACGATGATGATGATGATGATGATGATGATGATGATGATGATGATGATGATGATGACGATGATGATGACGATGATGATGATGATGATGATGATGATGATGAAGATGATGATGATGACTTCATTGTGCTGCTGCCACTGCTGTACAATGGCAATGATGATGACAATAATAATGATGACAAAGATAATAATGGTAAAGGTAATGATGCTGATGATGATGACGATGATGGTGATGCTGATGAGGGCAAAGGATAGCTCATGTTACTTTTGCATTCACATTTTACATCTACTATACAGTACAGCTGCCAGTGCAAATGAAGATGACAATGTTGGATAGTTATAACAAGACAGTCAAACGATGACGACAACGATGATAATGATGATCACCCCATTACCGGACAAAGGAAGCAAATAAATGGAATTCACAAAACTACGCATATTTTGACTATTTTTTGTATGCCAGCTAGATCTAGAACTAGTTCTCCGTTCTTTTTGAGTGTATGTTGAGTCTAAATACAATCCAATGCAATAAAAAAAAAGAGAAAATATCTTGTCTTGAAAAGCAAAGGATTTAAGATGAATATCTGAAGATCAAAGGAGACGAGACGAGAAAAGTAATAAAATTAGGTATGTCAGGAAAAGAGATGACGCAGAAAATGAATAATTTCAAGATGAACAAATAGGCTACAACTCTAAATTTAACACTGTAGCTATCAAACTTTCTATTATTTTAAAAAAAAATGAACTTAAAGTGTTACTACATCACACTGAATTGGGTTTAATATTACAGCTATCACTTCTTTAATCTATTTCAAAGTGAATTAAATAAAGACAGCTTTTTGTAATTTTGATTATCAAAATCCTTACTACATCCTCTGGATAGCCTACAGATTTATTTTAGCTCTGTAAAAAATGTGTGTGGGTGGAGGGGGGGTTCCCCCCGCACAAAACAGACAACCAGCCAGCTTCATTAAAGACGCAATCCGCAACATCTACATAAGCCCTCTAAACTTCAATTACTTTGCCCACATGTGTGGAAAAGCCGGTCACTGTGTTCACGCCACAAGGCGTTTCAAGCTGCTGAAACGGTGATCACATTATGAGGACGCGGCGACCATGTAGATAGAGATGCAAAAGTACAGGAGGTCACGGTGGGCCCTGAAGGCAACTCGCAACTACAAATAAAAAAGCGCAAACTTAAGAAAAATAAAACAAATACATTTACTCACTGCATTTACTACCTAAACACAAAAGAATAGTATTGCACATTACTACATGAAATAACAGGCTCAGCCTTGATCCCTCAGATATTCAGACTGTTTGCCCTCGGTATCCACTCACTCCTCCAATAACTTTAATGAATTAATTATAATGACGACAATGGTGTAATACATACTGTATACTTACTTTCGCACCCCCTTGTACTGTATATATTCTACCGGCGTATTTGTCAAACGCATTTATCACGTTATATACTAGATCGTTAAGGCATAGATCTAGATTATCTAGATCTATTTATTGTTAGACTTAATTGCTGAACGCGTTGCCTCAGAGCCACATGACCAGATTTCGTGTAAAATGCTCACCAACACATGCACAGAGAGGAGAGAGAGAGAGAAAGAGAGAGAGAGAGAGAGAGAGAGAGAGAGAGAGAGAGAGAGAGAGAGAGAGAGAGAAGAGAGAGAAAGGGAGAGGGAGAAAGAGAGAAAGAGAGAGAGAGAGAGAGAGAGAGAGAGAGAAAGAGAGAGAGAGAGAGTGAAAAGAAAGTGAGAGTGGCGTGTTTTACGTGTGTATCTCGTGCAGATTGCTTTTGACAATACGGACTTGTTTCTGCATGCGTTAAACGCTCCACATCCACATGCAGAAGAAGTTTCCCTGACTTTAACAGCTGATGTGTAAAGTTTGCGCTTATATCTATCCGGTTTAGCTTTTATTTGATTTCCCAAACTGATGTAACTGCAAGATAACAAAATATATGGGGACCTTTTTTAAAAAGTTCAATCTTATCTGTTGCGCAACGAACGTCAAAAAGAGGTAAGAGTCTTCTTTTTTTTTGCCGTCAAGTGGGGAATGTTTTAGGTCTTGGAGGCTTGTTTGAGTAAAGATAGGCACATCGACACAACAATGGTCTTTTCGTATCCGGCAGAATCAAGACAGAGAGAAACCTAGATAACAAAAACAAAACAAAACAAAAAATCAGGGAGGGAAAGAAGTAGGACTTGGCCGACAAGTGACTCCCGTCCTTCACGGTTTTTAAAGAAAGAAAGAAGGAAGAAAGATAGATAGAAAGAAAGAAAAAAGGAAGACGGCAGGAAAGGGAGGAAAAAGTGGGGGGGGGGGGGGGGGGGTTGGTAAAAAAAGAGCAAAGTCCGATTCATCATCATAGTTCGTCATTGTCACAAGCAGCGCTTGCCAGCAGGGCGCAAGGCTAAGCTCACGAAAGACGCTGCAGGCGCTTCTAATACCACATCTGTCACCCGACCTCTCAACTCTGTAGGGACGTAACAAGCACATAGTAGGCCTAATAGTACTAATACTAAGTCCGATCAGAAACAGACCAATGGCAAATGTTGTTTATTTGCCCGAGTAAACAGAAGCACATCGATACAGTAATGGTCGTTTAGTGCTGAGAAAAAGTAAGACGGACAGACATAAACAACAGACAGAAAGTAAAGAAGTAGGACCTACCACCAGTGGCGACCTCTAACCATCCGCAATGTTCAGGCATATTTCGAACCATCATTGATAAATCAGAACAGAGTTGCTCTATTATGCCACAGCATGCATGTTTCAGATTAAGAAAAACAGTTGAAAAACCTCTACGAATAACGTTCGTTTGAGTAACGAGAAGCGCATCGACACAATAATGGTCATTTAGTGCTGGGGAAAAGTAACACAGACAGACAGACAGAAACAACAGAGAGAAAGTAAAGAAGTAGGACCTACCAGCGGCGCCCTTCAACCACCCGCGTACGAATAACGGAGTTAGTAAGGTTCTTTTTTTAAAATAGTGGCCCGCCCCAAAACATGGCGCCTTCAATCGTTGTCTACTAACCAGAATGCGCGTCCTCGATGCTTTTACCCCAAACGCCCAACAAACCCACGTCCAAAAAACAACAACAACCCATCTTTGAACTTGACTGCCACACTCGAAAATAAATGAAGAGATCAAATCGGAGCAGCAACAGCAGAAAAGTCTGTTTGTTTTTTTATTTATTACATACCCCCCACCCCCCAAACCACCACCTACACCCCAGGCAAAAAACAAACAAACCCAAAACCCAACCTGACGAACAAAAATGAATATAGGAAGAAAACAAATTTGAAGTCATCATTTCCAACACACCAGGCAATCGCCCAGACGCTTATCAAATGATTGAAGTGATATTCGATGCACTTATTCCTCAACAAAGAAAAAAAGCATCAACAACAGCACACAAACAAACAGAAACAAAACCCCTATTTGTTACAATATTATTATTATGATTATTGTGAATATCGACGTCAAGTAGGGCTAAGGCACAGTGACAAGCCCAGAGGCTACGACACAGGACGCCTTGCAGACTTTTGCACGACCCACAAGCCACCTCACACGTCACAGATGTCACGTGGGATGACAGGGCGGCGCCTCCTTCCGGCCAATCATATCCTGCTGCCTATTGATTCGAGGGAAAATGGAGGGAATGAGGGTGGTAGGCCTTGGGTTGTTGGTAGAGAAAAAAAAAAAGTTGGTGGAAAAAAGAGGGGAGGTAGGGTTGTTGATGGAACAAAAAGGAGAGGGGATATGGTTGTTGATGGAAAAAGGGAAAAAAAAAAGGGTAGGGGGTGTAATTGGGTTGTTGGTTGAGAAAGGAGGAGGGCATAGGGTTGTTGTTGGAACCAAAAATAAAAAAGGGGACGG